ACTATGAAAGAATACATGTATAACAACAACAACGAAAGGTATTTACCTTTCTAGCCGAGACTCAGGGACACTCGGCGACTGCATAGGGTGAACCCAAGGTGCCATCTTTTCATACATAGGCCAATACGTTATCTGGCGACTCGCCAACTGAGGATTTACTAAATCCTCATTTGTATAGAATAGGCATTTTTCCTAAAGAAGTTTAGCGGACACAATCACCTGTATTTCGACTCAGCCTTGGTTCACCTGCAGTTCATGTTATTTTGGAATTTGCAGTTTAGATTCTTGCTTGCGTTCCGGTCATCATCTGGATCTCAACTCTTACCTTACATTTAGGGCGCACGCTGATATCATGTTCTTTGCTTTTTATGCATACCCTCGCTTACATTCGATGCTGCAGTGCTATGAGATTCAACGTAACTCTGCTGTCAATAGGCTGCTTCGTGATAAGGAGGTCTCGTATACGATTGATACTCATGAGTGACACGCTCAGGTGTAGCATGTAACTCGTTGATTAACAGTTTGGAGCGAAGTGCCCCGAGATCATAGTCCAACAACAGGGCGGGCGAGTCGGTGAGAGCTATGATGAATAGTCTGTAGATAGGACCGACGGTGGGGAAATGGCCTACACTCTATTAACCCAAGGAGCCTCCTCAAAATATAAACCATGTTGGAGATTTAAAGCAACTTAATATGAAGTTGAATATTGCACTATTGACGAATCTTAGTGAACACGGAAATGTAAAGTCGAAAGTAGTATAATCCTACATCACCAACGACAACAACAATGGTGATGGTGGTTACCTTCTTAACGGTCATAGTAGAATATCCTACATAGAATAATAACGGCGGGTAGGCTAATGAACGTCACGGGTAAATGTAAGTAAGCATAAATGGAAGTCGTTTCGAAGACTGGTAAATCCGAGGACACTGAGACAGAAGTTGTCGGCTGCTAATACACACTACACACATAGTGCAGGCGGCTTTAGTGATGAACTACAAAAACAGTATCGAACAGGGCGACGGGATGCCTTGTCCTTATGAAACCAATGGAGAGAGCATCACTGATGACTGAAACTGTGGTTAAAGAATTTGAATGAAAAACGGTACGAATGATGGTTCGAAGTAAAAACACACCACATGTGAGTTTACTGTTTTGCCATCATCGCAACGAATTCATCAAAGTCAATTTCGCCATCGCCATTAGCATCTGCTTGCTTGAGGATTTCCTCGATATGGCCACTAACAAGGTCGCTGACTTCACCGTTATTCAGAACCTGGGCCAACTCGAGCGGCGTTATCTTCCCATCACCATCGCGGTCAAACACTCTGAAGGCTCCCCAGAGACGATCTTCTTGTATATACTTCTTCTCTAAAAAAGCGACTGATATTGCCACGCATCATCACCCAACGAGAAAATCCTAAACGTAACTGGGGGATGCCAACAACATCGTTTCAAGAGCAATCATCTATCACTAAAACTATACACACATAAAACGATCAGTATATGTATCACAGAAGGTTACCGAGATATTCATTTTTAAATATTGTGAATTTGTTTCTAGTGATGTGAAATATTGCTCTTTTCCTAATCATTTCTCCACACTAAAGAGAACCCATAACACATAACACTGCAGTTTAAACGGGAAATGTTCACAACAGTGCAAAAAATCATTGCAAGGCAAGTCTGGACGCGGAAGCAGCATCACTACTAGACTCACTATCTAGTGTAGCTGCCAGGAATTCCGTATAGTCGATCACGCCCGAACCATCAGAATCCACTTGAGTCATAATGTCCATAAGATCATCTGGAATATCCTTGAGACCTGTACGCATACCACTACATTGACAATTCTCATACCACACATACACTCACCAGATTTCTGTATGCCCTCGACGACTTCCTGTATGGTAAGTTGACCATCGCCGTTAGTATCCATAGAAGTGAATACTTTCTTCAGCTGGACAATCTCCTCATCGGGCATTTGCTGAGCTATGATATTCAATGCTGCCTGATCGTTCACATCCAACAACTGTTCGAAGTGAAGATACGACAATTACCTTTTTGAGTTTATTTAAACTCCGAAAGGACTTCAAGTTATTCATCTGAACACCTTCCAAGGGGGCGTCTTCTGCACCTGGGGCGTGATTCTTCACCCATGGGTGATTTAACGCTTGTTCGGCTGAGGGAAAAAAGAGATTGATTTTCACAGTGGAGATATTACCCTCCCAAAATTACCAGTATAACGCTCTTGCGGATTCATTTTCAACAACTTCCGTATGAGGTCCTTGGCATCCGCTGAAATATTCTTCCAATCGCTAGCGTTAAAAGTATAGTTGCCAAGTCGAACTTTAGTGAGGACATCAGCATCAGTCTCGCCGTAAAAAGGAGGATAACCACATAATAAAATATACCTAGAAAAAAAATCATACCGCACGCGGAAAAATCACGTATTACATTATAACGCCACAGCTCCACAGATCACACTCCTGGTCGTATTGGCCGGCGAGAACTTGAGGCGCCACATAGTATGGTGTACCCGCTTTAGTTTTCATAAGTTCATTATCATTAAAGTGCGTGCTCAGACCGAAATCTATAAGTTTAATCCACGACTTCTCGATAGGGTCCTTGTTGAGGAATAGGAAATTCTCTGGTTTCAAATCGCGATGGACTATATGGTTTTCGTGCATATAATATACTGCTCGGAAAATCTGCTGCATTACAATAGCCGCCTGGACTTCTGTGAAATGTCCAACTTCAATGATCCTATCAAAGAGTTCACCTAAAATACACTTTTACGTTGAGGAGTAGTAGTATGATAATATTATTACCTCCTGTGCATAGTTCCATAATGAGGTATATATTCCGATGATCCTCAAATGTCTCGAATAGTTTAATAATATTAGGATGATCCAACATCTTCATAATAGCTATCTCTTGTTTAAATCTATCTATGTTCTTCACGTGGGATTTTGATATTGTCTTTACCGCACGGACCTGAACATCATCAACTTACTCACTTCTAGTCAAAACCATAGACTTCTACCGCATGTGTCGACTTATTAACAGCTTTCGTTACAGAGCCATACGTGCCTTGTCCGATCTTCTTACTATCAACATCATAATACTCCAACAACGAACCGTTATTATCCAAGATAAAATTAGCTCGTCCGAAGCCACCTTCAGCAACCTAAAAATTGATAATGCAAGTCGCCCTTCACAGCGATATACCATAAATTCACCTCTTTTTGTAAAGTCGAACCGCTGGACGTCAGCCCTGCTTTAGATCTGAGCGCCTTCTTTGACGGATTCTTTGAACCGCAAAGTCCCATTGTATCGATGAAATTATGAACTGTTGAATTGCAGCTTTTATTTTCATATCATCGCACTCGCGAAAAATTCCAATCGTTAATTTCACGATTTTTTTACTCGAAATTTTCGGAAAAATAACATTCGCTTTGAGCCGTCCCCAGAACCCGTTTTTCCAATGAATAACTCGGTCGTCTGGAAATGAGAACAGATAATAGCCCCCCTCCTCCCTAATAGGAAAAATGCGTACGACTACAACTGCGAAGATCTAGATCCGGAACAAGATGTCTGATTTCCAGAAATTCATCACTCTCAATGTCCAACTCGGTGGTGTGAGAGAATACTAACGAAGTTAGCCACTAGCGATTTCCAAAGTTTTGTGCAACATGCTTTGGTCATAGTCATATTGGCTCTTATAGGACCAAATTCTAAATAGCAGAGCACAACATAATCGTCGCTCGAAGAAGTGCGTTAAACGTTCCAACGGCCAACGCTCCTATTCTTACAACATCACAGTCTGATACACTAGTTGCATCTTAAACTTGGGCATTCTTCAATGAACCGATTTCCAAACTCAGAGTCGCTTTTTACACGTATAACACGATGCTATAATCGATTCTGAATTCCACAGTTGAGCCAATGGACATGTGGTGGTTGGTGAGTTGTTCGCCGATTCTAGGCGCCTTTAGTTGACTACCCGATATCGTCATTCGACTCACTACAGGTTAGCATGAGAAAATTAGCACATTTTTAGTATTCCAAGAGTTGCGTATGCGTGCATGCGCCGCCGTAAGAGCGTACATTTATAACTGTGCTTGAGTCAGTGGAGTTTCACCCTAGTGATATGAAAAACACTACTCCTTTTAAAGGCCTATTTCGCGTTTAGTAAGATCAATTTCGCAGGGCGAGCAATCATCCGAGTCAATATACGCCTTAGTAAGTTCAATTTCGTCAGCGCACTCAATAGAAAAATCAATTTCGCCGGCACGTCTGAAGTAAATTCAATTTCGATGAAAGGCGGAAATCGATTTCGCTGATAGTATAGCAATGAAATCGGTATATTTGGCAGCTATTCGAAATTCGAAACTTCCTTGGAATCTCTGTGAACCGACACTTGATGAATTTCACGACGAATCTACTCAGCTAGTTCCCCTCAGCCGTGCGTGGCTGTCCATGCTTGAGTTCAATAGATTCGCTCTTTACAAAGTGAATACAACGAGCTTGTATAAGGAGCCGAAGCACTGCGGCTATACACTCTCTCGAGACCTGTGTGAAAGGTAATACCAAATTGGTGATACATTTGAGTTTTCACGAATTTGTGTAGTTTTCTCCGTGCTCTTGGAGTCTAAGATAGCTTTCGTGTTATTATTTCCGCGCCTCTTGGTGGTCGTACACAGTCCCCGCAGTTGTGGAAGCGGATCCTGCTGAGAGAGAAGGAAGTACATTAGCAGAGGTCAACTCGCCCTGTGGGCAAAACTCATTGGCATGATGATAGTAGACAATTTAAAGAGGGCTAAATGCCGAGTGGCATCGATGCGAATACAACTAAGCCGTTTTTTTGTCGTAGGCGTTGGAATTCAAACTCAGACACACACTTCACGCTCCTTGCGATATGCTAATTTCTCATCCAATTCGAGTTGGGTTCAGTGGTTGTTTCCTCATAAAACCCCTACTCTACTTTGGTTGGTATTCAAGTACATTATATACTTCTTCTTTTCCTCGTTATGCCAAGTCGGCTAGCCTCAGCCGACTCTATCCTTAAGCCCCTTGTCCAGCTGTTATATAGATGCCTCCAATACTGTCCAAGATTGCGGGAATTTATACTGTACATTGCTCGCTTAGTGTTACTGATCTGCGGGGAAGCTCCGATGGAATCAGGAATGGGAAACCAAGTGCAACAGCAACAACCGAGTCTGCGACATATAGATGAGTTCGTTGGTGGTCTACAGTGCGCTGGTAGTATTATAATGGAAGAACATGCACATGGTGAATTGGTGAAAATTATAGGAAAGTTTTCCTTGGTTTCTGTACACTTCTACCCGAACTCGTGTGTGAACTTATCAGTGTGGGGAACTCGGTTGAAGGAGGCGAGAATATGTATTTTAACTTCAGCGCTGGTAGTATTACTCACTGATTTTGAAATTCGTATGTGAGAAAAAGAGCATTTTTTCGAAATTTTCAACGTGTAGTTGACCATGTGTGTGTCGCCGTGGTATTACATTTTGTGTTTGTGCATGTTGGCCGACTCAGGCGAGCTCCTTGATCTCGAGTTGTATCCTGATGCTAAGGAGATCTCAGAATCCATGGCGGCGTTCCATGCGGTCAGACGCCACGTGGCTGCTCTCAATATTGGGATGAATGACAACAACGTTGGCTGTGTTGTGGTAGTAATAGTAGTAGTAGTAGTAGTAGTAGTAGTAGTAGTAGTAGTAGTAGTAGTAGTAGTTATCAGTGGAGTTGTCTCTTTTCACAAGGACACTCTTAGGTTGGTGATGGCAGCACACCGAGAACCGCAGCGCTCTTCGCGTATCGAACGAGTTGGCAGATCTGGTCTATTGATCCCCAGCTGGACGCGAGTCGGTGAGTTACAGCAGGGGTATGGTTGTAGTAGAGATGAACTCTATCAGATACGAAGGGAAGGTGAATAGACTTCATTTGCTCGATAGGAAGATTGAAGACTGTCTACTCTTCAATGCTAACGTCAAGGTTTGGGTGATAGTATGCGTTCACGCGCATCTACGAAGTTTACAGGACGCAGTAAATTGCTGCATAGCTCCTGGGAAATCTGGAAAGTGAGGGAAAATTTCGTAAAATTGATAATTTTATTTTTTTGTGGTAGGCTGGCGCTGGTCGTGGCGATGCCATGCTGTAATAACTATTCTACGATGCTTCTCGATTGCGAGAAAAACGACCTCGGGCAGATGGAAGAATATAAGGATTGGGGAGTTATGTCCCCTCATAGACTCATTCGAGTTTGGATGGCTTCCGAGTATGTGGTGAAGTCTACTGCTGCGAGCGCTGTAGTGGACGAGAGTTTGCGGACCAGCACTGCTAGGAGTAAAGGAGGATCAGTACGAGCACAGAGGAGTAGAAAGCGTCGAGAGCAGGAGCACTTGGGCGCTACGTATTCGGCGTGATAAACGTTAATAGAAACATGCGTGTATGCTTTTTGTTGTCAATTTGAAGTGGCTTGAACGGAAAGGTGGTGTTGTTTGTCTTTAAAGAGATTATATACTACTACAGTAGTAGTACTACTTAGATTATATACTACTACTTAGATTATATACTACTACTTAGATTATATACTACTACTTAGATTATATACTACTACTTAGATTATATACTACTACTTAGATTATATACTACTTAGATTATATACTACTAATGTGCCCGGCTTGTTTTCTGTGTCACCGACTCGGTATCGTCTGGTGTGATCTTAGGACTGTGAGGCAATCAGTGTTGGAATATATGTTTTGTCTCCTCAGCTGAGCTCGGAAGTTTCCTCATAAAATATAAAGGTTGACACACTATTTCAAAGCAACAGGAATTCCACAAAAATTTCTCAGAATTTTCATATTGTCACCAACACATGTAGTTGACCATGTGCATATTTTCCCCCCACACTGGATGCAACAAGGGGTCAATGAGAACCCTAGGATTTTTGTCCGTAAAACCAAGTACTCTTGTTGTGAATACTCGTATATAATTATTAAATTCGATACAGTGGAGTTTCTCCCGTGATATGATAAACACTAGTGAAAAACATATCTCTTGCGCGAACATCGGGGTTTTCACTGAGCATTACGCCACTTCTCGTGAAACTACAGCATTTTGCTGGTGCGAGCAATTGTGTATTGGAAAGTAAATATCTCTAGGTGGTTCTTCATCATCATCACATTGAAGTAGTCTTGATGCCTATGGAGCATTAGTTTATTACTTATGGAGTGCCCGGAGTTGTGTGTTGCCCATCTGATCAAGCAGGGCGAGTATCGGCCAGTTAGGCAGGGTCAGATCACAACACCAGCACTCCACCACATACAGGTGAATGACGGCGTATGTGGTGTCTTCCGAGGTTGCTAGATGTGTAGCATTATCACTCTGGGCAGGTGATTTTCACAAACTCCAATTTCTCGTGAGAAAAATTAATAATGTGTTGGTGCCAATATGAAAATCCTGAGAAAAATTTGGGAAATTATCGATCGTTTCTGTACACTTATACCAAAGTGCTAAAATTGATGAACTCAGCTTTAGAGAGCCAACATATACTCTACCATCGCTTTCCTCAGTTGAGCTCGATAGTTTCCTCACTAAATATACACGTTGACATACGAATGAGTGTAAAAATGTATCTTCCTTGCACAGCACCCGTTCGAGCAGGCGAGTAATAGCCAGTATAGAGGTATAGCTGCAGGCTCAGTCACTGCTGTCTGAGCCCGCAGTATGAACCGCTAGATAGCATGTTACACGGCACATAGTTCGATAAGTGTATAGGACTCAATGAGAATTTCTCAAAATTTCCTCCTAGAATTCTCATCTTGTCATCACGAACATATGTGGTTCTTCACACTTTCGTTTTCGTGTTTTATACCTACCAGTAGAGGAATGCTTGGTGCCGTGTCAGGCTGCACAAGACGGCAAGAGTGTTCGGAGTATTGTTGGACGAGGCGTTGAACTCTGTAATGTCGTGATGGACTCATCCTGTTTGCCGGGCATGATATCTAGACGACATGCTTGTATCGAGATGGCTGGTGAGAAGGAAGTGCCGCCACATTTTCGTGTTTTTATTGATGTTGCTGGTGATTTGTCCATTGAGATAACACCATAGCAGAGGAGTGCCTTAGAAGGCAGCAACCTGATTATACTCGATCGATGTAGACTATGTTCATCATGAGCTTAGCTGAGGGGTTACTTCACCTGAGAGAGACACATTAGAGTTTCACCCGTTCAACGTGAAGTGGCGTAATACTGCATGTAAACTATAAGACGTATGTCTTCGCGACCGACAACACAATTGTTTTTTCCTATGAAATATGTTTTTTCACTAGTGTTTTTCATATCACGGGTGAAACTCCATTGTGTGCTACGGTGAATGGGGACAGCGATCCCCTGTAGCTGTGTCGTCGACGTTCACTTCCACAGATGACAGCCAGTGGTTCATAACAGACCTGATGACCTTAAACGGTGTCGTCGTGAACGGCGTGACCATCGAGCCGGGCAAACGACATTCTGTGACCAGCGGCGATGTAAACGGTGACGTGGTGGTGGCTTCCTGCCAGTGTGATTTTGGTTTGCACATATTTTGGTTTGATTTGGTTTTCCAAATATGATGTTGATCGGTTTTGCAAATACTCGAATTGAAATCGAGACAACTATTGCTCCGCATTCCCCAGTGGAAGACTGATTTCAGTTAGAGAGTGAAATTCTGGAAAAATGTGCATAACTGGTCAACTACATGTGTTGGCGAGAATATGTGAATTGGGAATTTTGGGGATTTCTTATTGGTTTCTGTACACTTCTGCCCTAGTTTACGCGTAAACTTTCATGAGCAATGCTGCAAAATATGTACTCGCTTTCCTCAGCTGAGCTCGATAGTTTCCTCACTAATCATAGGAGTTCATATACGAATCGAGAAAAAAATACGAAATGTGGACAGAAACTAAGAGAAATCCTCCAAAATTTCCCCAGAGTTTAGGTATTATCACCGACATTTGTGGTTGATCATTTACCACACTGTCGATGATTAGTGAGGAAACTTTTGAGCTCAGCTGGGGAGGGCGAACATATATTTCAACACTGCTTTCTGATACCAGTTTTCTCCTTGCCAGATAATCGTTTTTGGCCGGCAAATTCGTTCACGAGAATTCGAGTATGAATTCCGCGTCGGGCCCCTGGACAATCAGAGAAACGGGAAACCTCATACTGGTCAACGCTCCGTGGAGAAGCGAGATGAATCGCCTGAACGCGAACGCCCATCAACCACGTCGTCCAGTCGTGGGTTCAGCTAGATTATAGGCTCGTGAGATATGAGGGCTCCATGTTAGAGGCAACAAGTCGCAAGCGCACACGGTCTCCGCATAGTCGAAGCATGAGAGCTAAGAAGGCCAAAAGAGCCGCTTCTGCTGCCGACTCTGATGGTGACACGTATAGCGTAAGGTTCACAGTCACCGAAAATGAGCTGCTCTCGATAGTGCTGTTATCAGAGCGAATTGGAACGGCAACTCGAGTCAATAAGACAAGAAAACGAACTACTCAAAGAGCGACTCCAATCAGTGACGAATACTCCTAGTATTGCTACTGGCTTTGAGCGTCGTAGTAGTGGAAATATATGTGTGAGGTAAACGCAGTGTTGTTGAGCCCTGCAAGAATCAGCCAACACCCATGGAAAAGGCCAGAGGAAGATTGTAGGTTGCCGATGAGCATGATGAGCACTTGATTACAACTCAAACTCGTGTTGTCAGATTCGCTGATTTGGAGTGCGTTATATGCAGAGATCTCATGGTGTCACCAGCAACACTAGAATGTTCGCATTCCTTCTGTTACAAATGGTAACAAGAGCGTCTCCTCGTAGTTCTCGAAAATACAAGTGGATCAACCACAGTTACACGGTTAACCACATGTGTTGGTGATGATGCGAAAATTCTGAGGAAATTGTGGTATATTGTTGTTGGTTCTCGCACAATTCTTTCTGTAGTTGCGGGAATTCATGAGCTCAGCTGAGGAAAGCGGACATATTTTCCAACACTGTTTGAGAGTGTTCATATTTCTCTCTTAGTATTGAGGAATGGCTAACTGGTGGTAACTTTCGTTGCCCTGTTTGCCGTGTTGGCATCACAAGATCTCCGACAAAGACGATACAGTTGCAGCAGGTGGGGACGCTGTTGAGGTCTATGGCATGGTCCTGTGTGACAGGTTGTTATGACTACTGTTGAGACACATGGCACAGAGTCTGACCAGGTTGTTGAAGTCTATTCCTAGTTCAGAGTAGGGTTGTGTGTGATCAGGCCGAATATGATGATCGTATGAAGGAGCATAAGGCTTGGGAGAGGAAGCAGGAGACCGACCGTGCCAAGTTGGAGGACACTATAGGTTCAGCTTCACATAAAGGGCAGCAGTTCTTCGACATTGCACTACCATGGAATTCCGAGGACAAGGCGAGGTTTCAGGCAGGTGGGTCAAAGATAGATTGAATCACTCATACGAAAGAATCATCCGCGAACCTAGAGTGTTTTCGGGAGGAACTTGTGTTAAATTTTCCACATAGTCGGGAATACGTTCTTGGAACAGTTCTCTTGTCAATATCATCACATTAGGAACATTGTTATGAAACCCTGGGGGGGCGTTATCTCTCAAAGCTAGATGGGTCACTGCTCCTCCGTACGGTTACACAGGTATTCGTCATTATCGTAGTGATGCTAGAGAGCTGTACTGTGCCATCACTGGTTTGACCAAAGCATGGGTAAGGAGAGATGATGATATTGACTATGCCTTGTGGTGAATGTTGGTAGATACAACGGTCTAGTCGAGACAGTCTCGATGTGGCTATGAAGAATTTGAAGATCGGTATCATTGAGGCAGCAAATGCAGAGGACTCGTCTCAAGTCTATTATGCCCCGGATGATGTTATGAGACGACGACTTTTACTATTTACCCGCTATTGTTAGCCTCGTTATGAGTTTACCACTCCATCACCAAAACATGTCCCGAACTGAAGCTTTCCACTGCTATACCGAAGACTTGTGTCAATCTGTGCGGCTTTGACAATTCGAGGTGTGTCCAGAAGGCCTCACTAGTGAACTAACAAAGAACTTATCAGTTCGCTTGCCTTGAAGAGGTTTCAGCATTGCGTTTGCCGACCAAATCGAATGGTAAGACTGATATTTTGTATGCCAATTCGGTGTAATTATTAGGAAACTCTCAAGAGGGACAAGCATCAGCGAATTGACTATGAAAACACGCGTTGATGCATGTGGATGGCGTGGTATTTCGATCGATCGATTTCTACTCGGTTTTTTGAGTATCTCCAATTTGGTGCTATGAGGGGATACGGTTTACAGACATATTTTCACTCGCACTCCTCGTTCTCTGTGACTGCAGGATGATTCCTCGCCATTATTTTGCGATTTCCCTGTCGAGTCGAAACTATCGCGCTCGCCATAATACTCAGCGCAGTCTTCGTTGCGTAGTGGAGCCTCCTTCAACCCAAGGGTGTCGCAGTTGCTCTTTCGCTCTTGGGTGGTTTGAATGAGCGGACCTAAAAATATCTACATATGAGATAACGCTAGTCATTCCTCGTAAGCTTTCTCCCACGAGCCACGCTTCTGGGACCTTCCTGGCTCACGCGAGTGCTGTACTCGCAAGCCAACTACAGCGACTATTGGGAGACTATGTGCAATGATGAAGTCATGATTAGTGATGAGTTTATTGATCAGCTGTTTCGTATTGATAATGACGATCCTCGGCTACACTCTGAGAGAAGTTCTCATCATAGCAGCATGCTTTGGTGCAAGTGTCTCAATGATGAACTCTGTGAAATACATACAGACTAGCCTTGACTTCCCCTATCCTCTCTTTATCAGTGCTATGCACATGCTGTGGTCGTTCGGAGCTTGCGGCTTCTACTTGAGGCACGAGATGGGTATTTTGCAGCGTTACTCCCCTACACAGTATCTGCAACAAATTGTACCAATATCGGTGTTCTCAAGCGCCAGCATCGCGTGTGGCAATCTAGCTTTGAAATATATTTATCCATCTTTCAACGAGTTATTACAGCAAACTAGCGCTGCTGTGACAGTTGTGGTAGGAGTTTTTATTTTCGGCAAGCGATATAATTTTGCTACTTATTTATCAATGTTGCCAGTTTGTGGTGGAGCGCTATTGTGCGGCCACGGTGAAGTCAACTTTGTTCTCCTAGGAGCTCTTTCTGCGATTGGTAGCGTCTTCTTCAGAGCATTGAAAAATACTATGCAAGGTGACCTCTTGAACGGATCGCTGTCCTCTCTTGAGCTGTTGTTCGTCCTTGCCCCTGCCAACTTGGTATTTTTCCTCATCGGCTCTCTCGCTGCTGAGGGAATCAGCCCTGTATGGGAGGCGGCGAGTAGTCCATCGATAATGTTGGGCTTAATAATATCATCATTCTTGGCATGTGCTTTTAACATTCTTACTTTTATGATGCTGAAACTACTGTCACCAGTAGGAGCCATGGTCGTACACTCTATGAAGACTCCTGGTATGCTCATAACGTCATGGGCGCTTTTTGGCAATCCGGTGGAGCCGACTCAAATTGTAGGTTTTGTTATTATCACTGCAGGCGTGTACTACTACCGGGTTAATGGTGGGGAAATTACTCCCGAGACGGTGTCGGCAGAGGAGGTTGGCCTTGACGCTAAAGTTGGGGAGAATTCTTCGGCGGACGATGATGAGGAAACATTCCCGGGAGATGATTCTAGCGGCTCTGGGGATCTCGAGATGGGAGATCTACGCTCGGAAATTGCTCTTGAATGAACTATTTTTTTTATTTGCTGCGATCGTATAAGTAGACCTATTTGTTGTTTGTGGCCGCAAGTTGGTATTGTGATTATGTTTTTTTATGGACAGCGCTGGCTGTTTTGTTGGCTCAATGGTGTCAATATAAGGGAGGTGTACTTATGATGTTCATCAACTCGGGAGCTTGTGCAATGTCGCAGAAAGATGGTATTACGACCGAATTAGAGAGAGAAAGCGGTTGGTGAGAGGCGCCTGTTGACTTGACGAGAGCCTTGGAGTGAACAATATGATAGCAAGAAGAATTACAATACTTCCTGTCGGGGATCTATTATGTGGTTGAGGTCACTAGTTTAGTGGAGAACGCAGTCCCATAGGTTGATGAAGTCGTCAACTTCGCGGTGGCGGTCGAGTAGGGAGATCAACTCCGCGGATAAAGATATAATTTTTGGGTTGTAGTTTCACCACGAGTAGGGTTTCACGATTACTTTGTACATTGGCAGTTTGATCATGCTTACATACCTTATTGATGAACTCTGGTAAAATTCGTCTTCGCTTGCCGCAAATCTTCCGACCAGCCAAGCCATGGTGTGCCTTGGCTCCCCGGTTTGACAGGCTCGTGCGTGATTTGGGAATGTCCGAGAAGGAGGATGCGGTCCGTCTTCTGGCAGAGGAAGGAGTCTTTGGTTCAGCACCGCATACGATAGGAGTCGCGGCGACTAGCGGTACTGTGTATCTTGGAATGGACATACCCAACGTAGATCGACTCCTGAAGGGCTGCTAGTTGACTTTAATATTGACTTCAGGTGGGCATGGGCCCTCTGCAGAGTCTCGTTGCGAATCTTATGAATCACGGAGAGATAGGGCTAAGTGCATACTGCTATGGAAGCGGCCATGAAGACGCTACTTTGAGTGAGATTGATTGTGCGTTGCTCTATGCTCTGGGTAAACGGCCGAGTCGAATTGCATTGGGAGACGGTACAAATCTCGAGCCCCAACGTGGTAAGTAGTTCCAAGAAGCTCACGCGTAGGGTAATCATCAGTTATGTCGCCGCCTCTTCCGAAAGGACGCGAGAGACTATTGAAGCACTACATAGGAAAAGGAGCGGAAGTGTTCGACGTTGTCTGTTCGCAGCTCATGGATCATGCATTTGTGATATCATCATGCTCAGCGGCTGAGTCGTATTTTTGGAGTATTGAGTCAGGTTTCCAGTCAGCTCGCATTCAACGGTGGAGGGGGGTGTGCTCTTAAATTGACTTCTGGCGAGATTATTAGAGCATCGGGGATTGTCTTGAGAGGTGGGTTCTTCATCCACTTCATCAGTACACCTTCATCACACTATTGGGAGCTCGTCTTGGATCGTAAGTATGTTCAGGATCTGACTCCCCCGTCATCTCCTCTGCCCAGGCAGCTATCGTGGCACTCCACGCGAACGGGTTGGTCAAGAGTGGCAATGCCGTTGTTGAAGCAGCAGTATGTATTGGTGAAGATGAACAAGCTGGGCAAGCGTCAATAGACCTCATCAGTTCGTTGTGGCCTTACACTGTTCTCCACATTGAAAAGGCAGTGAACTGTGCACCGTTGAAGCCACAGCCACGCGCATGATAGTTTCCGATCAGAGTCGTTGGGATTGCGTTCAATGTGAGAGAGGTGGCACCTTTGAGCCGGTTGAAATGTATCCCGCTCGAACCTTGAGAGGCTTCGTCAAACCTGCGCGGCGTTCTCTGGAGACGGTTAGAGTTGTCTCCGCATTTACATTCGATACTTCGACTGATGGCGGAATTTGAAGATGTATCGCGCCTTTTGCAGCTGTGAGGTGATGGTTGGAAGATTATATCGTAGCCCAAGCGGAAGGAATTATATTATTTCGTCGTCAGTTTGGCCGAGTGGTCTAAGGCGCCAGACTCAAGTTCTGGTGGAGAAATCCGCGTGGGTTCGAACCCCACAGCTGACATTGTTCTTTGTTCACCTATCGTCTGTTTCCAAATTTCAATCAGGAGTTACACCAACGAGAACTCTACGATTGGATAACGAGCGGAATCTTCAACATTTTCTCAAACACGCTTCACTCGGAAGACCAGGCCCGGGCGCCTATTACATGCTATGATGTGAGACCTAGATGACTCCCCCGCAGAATGTTCGTACCCCGTGAGCATAGATAGGTTCATGGGGCTTGAGCAGATGCGGATTACCGTCATTGCAGTGATTGAGCGTTCTGTACATGCTTCGCTGATTCATCGACCTTTGTTCTTGCTGGATTCAGTCGAGTCAATTCTGTGACTCAGGGACAATTGATTCAACTGTCTCCTTCACAAATAAACATGTTCGCTTTCGCGGTGGGAGTCCCGGTGAGGTTCGGGGAAGTGAATGTTCGTTTATGCTGAGAACTAAAGCTTTTTTGAATATATTCAACTCCGAATATCCATGAACAATGTCGCAAGCTCGGGTGAAACGGTAGCAGGGGTTATGCGCGACATTGCTAGAGTTCTACCAGGAACGAGAGCGCGCCAACTCCACAGCAGCACCGTCCTCGCTACGAGGGATGGGCCTTAGCACCCTAACATATAAAATCTCTGAAAGGGAGATAGATGAAGTACGGTCATTATTCGGAAGGTGTACTCGTAAGCCTCTCTCCTTGCTTTGAGCGTGCTAGATTACAGTTGACGTGTTGGTGGGAAGCGACATGCCTAGTCGGTATCATATTGGTGAACTTGATTATCACGTCATCCCTCAGATCTTTGAGATGCTGGACACCGATCAAGATGGGTTCATATCTTCTTCAGAGGTAGACCTCCAT